TGTTACTTGATGTTAATGTGGAAGAAATCCGGTGACTTTTCTGGATTGTGGATAAGATTGGAATCGGATTCTGTCAGTGCACTTTTTTATACGCCCACATTTTCATGTGGAGGTACATTGTCGTCGCCCCTGTCCGTCCGTCCGTCAACAATTTGTTTGTGTACAAACAAGAGGTCGCAATTTTTATCAAATTTTCATGACTTGAAATATATGTTTATAAATTAAAAATCTCGGTTCCTTTCAATATTCACGCATATCGGACCACAACTTCCTGGATTATGGCCCCATATTGTATGAAAAATCGTGATTTTAGCTTGTGGTCCCACTAGGGATGATAATTTTTATCCAATTTTAAAAACCATTTAAATATATCACCGTGACACCATAATGACACATGTGTTCAAATTTCCTGAAAATAGAACCGAAATTGGCCGACAAATTGCCCGCACCCTGTTCGCAAATAGTGTAAAAGTATGTAATACCAAGGTTGTGGACCCTCTGCATGTCACAATTTTTATGAATCTTGAAATATATGTTTATAACTCAAATATCTCGGTTCCTTTCGACCATAACTTCCTGGATTTGACCTCAGATTGTAAGAAAAATCGTGTTTTTATACGCCCGTATTTTCATGTGGACGTATTATGCCGTCGCCCCTGCTTGTCCGTCCGTCCACAATTTGTTTGTGGACACTCTACAGGTCACAATTTTTATCCAATTTCAACGAAACTTGAAATATAGGTTTATCCCCCCAAGACCTCGGTTCCTGGTTCCTTTCGATATTGACATGCATCATGAATTATGGCCTCTGATTGTACGAAAAATCTCGTTTTTAGCCTGTGGACCCTATATAAGAAGTCACAATGTTTATCCGATTTTGTAGAAACTAGAATGTAAGTTTATAAACCAAAGATCTCGGTTCCTTTCGATATTCGGGCATATCAGACCGTAACTTCCTGAATTATGACCCCTGATTGTACGAAAAATCGCGTTTTTAACTTGTGGACCCTATAGAGGTCAGAATTTTTATCCCATTTAAAAAAAACGTTTGAATATATCACCGTTACACCCTAAGAATGGTTGAGTTCGAATTTCTCAAAAATCGGACCAAAACTGACAGACAAAATGGCCGCCCTCGTACTCAAATAGTGTAAAACAAAATATGGTATATCAAGGTTGTGGACCCTCTAGATGTCACAATTTTCTTTAGATTTTGGTGAAACTTGAACTGTAAGTTTATAACCCAAAGATCTTGGTTCTTTTCGATATTCGCGCATATCGGATCGTAACTTCCTGAATTATGACCCCTGATTGTACGAAAAATCGCATTTTTTAGCTTGAGGTCCCTCTAGAGGTCACAATTATTATCCGATTTAAAAAAAAAACAAAAAAAACGTTCAAATGTATCACCGTTACACCGTAATTTTGGTTGAGTACGACTTTCGTGAAAATCGGACCAAAACTGCCGGACAATATGGCCGCCCCTCGTACACAATTAGTCTAAACAACTGGTATCTCAAAGTTGTGGGCCCTCTAGAGGTCACAATTTTGATTTGATTTTGATGAAACTTGAAATGCGTGTTTATAACCCAGAGATCTTGGTCCCTTTCGAATTTCGTGAAAATCGGACCAAAACTGCCGGACCAAATGTCCGCCCCTCTAGTCTCTATCATCCAGAAAATATTCTACGAATATTAGTCTGGATGCGTTGTCAACATTTGAGAATAATAGGTCATTGGCTAGATTATCCGGTCTTTTTCATTATCATAAACAACGTCTAAGGGGGTAACTTCTCTTAAAACAAGATGTTTACGCCCATGAAATTAATTTAAGAATGTCATTTCAAAAAATCCATTTGATTGCATGCCAGTTAATTTTTTTATTGTAAATTTTCTCTCTTCATGGGCCATATCTATGCTTTTTAAATTAATCCTAATTCGTCGTCGCGATTCATGTTTGTTTATATTAATACAAGAATTATGGGAAGGGGCGCAACTCTTACTTGACTTGGCCAAAGATACTGGATAATCAACCACATTAAAAACCAAACTCCCGGTTACGCATGGGCAACGGACTTTACGTCAAATATTGACAACGGTCCCAGACCCCTCGTATGTTGAAGACTAGGAGGTTCTGGGTGACCGAGACTACGCAAATAGTGTGTAGAGGTCACAATTTTGATGGAAGTTGAAATACATGTTTATAACCCAAAGATCTTGGTTCTTTTCGATATTCGCACGTATCGGATCGTAACTTCCTGTTATGGCCCTTGTCCCTTGATTGTACAAAAAGTCATGTTTTTAGCTTGTTGTCCCTGTAGAGGTCACAATTTTTATCCGATTTAAATAAAAAAAATCATGTGAATATATCACCATTGCACACTAAGATTTTGGTTCTTTCTGATAATCGCGCATATCCAAACGTAACTTCCATGATTATGGCTCCTGATTGTTCGAAAAATCGGATTTTTAGCTTGCGGATTCTCTAGAGGTCACATTTTCTTTTCCGATTTTAAAAACCGTTTAAATATATCACCATTCCACCATGATGAAGGTTGAATTCGAATTTCGGGAAATCGAAATGAAACTGTAAAAGTGTGCAATGCGAAGTTTGTGGACCCTCTAGAGGTCATAATTTTTATCCGATTTTGATGAACCTTAAAACATATCTTTATATCCCCAAGATCTCAGTCCATTTTGATATTTGCGCATTTCAGACCATAACTTTTTGGATTATTTCCCCTGAGTGTTCGAAAAATCCCGTCTGTTTTTAGCTTGTTCTCTATCCATCTCTTCCAAAATGTGGGCGTATCCTGCCTGGCAGCCGCTGGTTAGCTTGTGGACCCACTAGAGGCCACAATTTTTATTCGGTTTTATAAACTGTTTAAATATATCACCATAAGAGAGAGAGAGAGAGAGAAATGGGGTTTAACGTCTACTCGACACAAACTAGGTCATTTCGGGACTAACATATGGTTTATTTTTATTTCAATAATTCGCTTGCGCGTAGGGGTCTTTGGCAGTGGGAGGAAACCGGAGGACCCGGAGAAAACCCACGAGGTTGGACAGGCGACCCTACTCTATATTACCATAATGACACTTAGAGTTAAAATTTCGTAAAATTCAGGCCTAAATTGCCCGCTCCCTGTACACAAATAGTGTAAAAGTATGTAATACCATGGACCGTATATACGGTCCATGGTAATACTTAAGTTTGTGGACCCTCTAGAGGTCACAATTTTTATTATACGCCCACATTGAAATGTGGTCGTATAGTGTCGTCGGTCCTTCCGGTGTCGACAATTACTTGTGGACGCTCTAGAGGCTAAGGTCAATATCTGATTGACTTCGAATTTATACACAGTATTTAAGGTCATGAGACTAAAAAGCCTATTGATTTGCAGCGATTTCTGATAATTACTGCCATAGTTATGGCCCTTGATCACTTTAAAAAATCTTGTGGACGCTCTAGAGGCTTAATTTAATATCAGATTTTATACACAGTGTTTAAGGTCATGAGACGAAGAATCCTATTGAGTTTCTACGATTTCCGATAATTACTGCCAGAATAATGGCCCTTGATCTCTTTGAAATATCTTTTTGACACGCCAGAGGCTAAAGTTAATATCCGATTGACTTTAAATTTATACGCACTGTTTAAGGTCTTGAGACTAAGAATCTTATTGATTTTAACCGATTTATGATAGTTACTACCAGAGTTATGGCTCTTTGAAATATCTTGTTGACACTCTTAGAGGCTAAAGTTAATATCCGATTGACTTTAAATTTATACACAGTGTTTAAGTTCATGAGACGCAGGAGCCTGTTGATTTTCAACTATTTTCGATAATTACTTCCGGAGTTATAGCCCTTGATCTCTTTGAAAAATCTTGTAGTAGCTCTTGAAGCTAATGTTAATATCTGATTGACTTTAAACTTATACACAGTGTTTAAGATCATGAGACAAAAAATCCTATTCATTTTTATACGCCCACATTTTCATGTGGACGTATATTGTCGTCGCCCCTGTCCGCCAGTCCACAATTTGTTTGTGGACACTACAGGTCACAATTTTATCCGATTTTGACGAAACTTGAAATATAGGCCTATCTCCCAAAGATCTCGGTTCCTTCGATATTGGCATGTATCGAACCATAACTTCATGGATTATGGTCCCTGATTGTACAAAACAAATCACGTTTTTAGTTTGTGGACACTCTAGAGGTCACAATTTTGATCCGATTTTGATATGATATAACCCAAAGATTTTGGTTCTTTTCGATCGTAACTTCCTGAATTATGGCCCCTGATTGTACGAAAAATCACGTTTTTAGCTTGTGGTCCCTCTAGAGGTCACAATTTTTATCCTATTGAAAAAACGTTTGAATATTTCACCGTTACACCCTAATGACGGCTGAGTTAGAATTTCGTGAAAATCGGACCAAAACTGCCGGACAAAATTGACACCCACTCGTACGCAAATGGTGTAAATATATGGTTGTGTACCCTCTAGAAGTCACAATGTTGATCCGATTTTGATGAAACTTGAAATATGTCTTAGTAACCAAAAGATTTTGGTTTTTGTCGGTATTCTTGCCTATCGGATCGTAACTTCCTGAATTATGGCCCTTGATTTTACGAAAAATCACTTTATTTTTAGCTTTTTCGCTATCCATCTCTTGCAAAATGTGGGCGTATCCTGCCTGGCAGCCGCTGGTTAACGGTTTCCGATAATTACTGCCAGAGTTAAGTCCCTTGATCACTTTTAAAAATCTTGTGGCAGGTCTAGAGGCTAAGTTAATAGAAATTGTTTAATGTCATGAGGCAAACAATCGAAACAAATTCTAATGTTTTACTTATACACAGGTCTTGAGACAAAGAATCCTATTCATTTTTAACGATTTCCGATAATTACAGCCAGAATTAAGGCACTTGGTCACTTTGGAAAATCTTGTGGACGCTCTAGAAGCTAAGTTAATAGAAATTGTTTAAGGTCATGAGACAAAGAATCGAAACAAATTATAATGTTTTCTGATAATTACTTCATGGGTTATTACTCATAATCAGATTTTCATGTGTTGTAAATGTTCTCATTACTGACAAACAAAAGATAAAAAAATATGCGACAACACTTTTTGACTGCCTGGACGACTTAGCTGCTGTGGGCGTATGTTTCGTTGCCTGGCAAAATATCTTCCGATTTTGATGAAACTTAAAATAATTGTTTATATCCCAAAGATCTGGCTTATTTTCAATATTTGCGCTTATCCGACCCTAACTTTCTGGATTATGGCCCCTGATTGTACGAAAAATCACTTTTGTTTAGCTCATGGCAGAATGTGAGCGTATCTTGCATGGCAACCACTTGTTTTGAAAAAAAATGCCGAATTATAAACTATAAACCACCTGCCTGGCATGGGGCCACGGCCCGTCCTCGGTCTGCTGAGGCTCTAGTCACCGTCAGGGTATCCGGTCCCCCTTCCGTTTGAATCCAGTACCGCTGAAATACACGTCCACATTCCTGCTTTGATTGATATGGTATTTTTGTAAAACAGGCCAACAGTGAGGCTGATGTCCCCGCCGCAATCCAAAAATAAATAGATGACACATATTAATAAATAGCACATTTATTTTTATCAACTATACATCACTCTCTATCAGATAGAATCAAAGTTATCTTGTCCCAAAGCATCTCAGACGAGACATTCACCTAATGAACATCTACATCAAGTTTTAACATTCTACCTCAATTAAAAGCAGAGTTGTTATGTTCCAAAGTCTTGACCAATTAAATTGCTTATCGCTCCAAAGCCTAAGCAGAAAATTCTCATCATGGAACTTAATGATATAATGAATCCATACTCGGAGTTTCATTATTGTGTTCCAAAGCATCAACAAATCAGATTGCTTATCTCTGCTTACCGTAAGCAAACAATGTTTATCATCGAACTTCATCAAGGCATTCACCTAATGAACGCCCACACCAAGTTTGAAAATTCTACCTCAATTAGAAGGACAGTTATTGTGTTCCAATGTCCCGACCAATCAAATTATTGATGTGATAAAACTCTACACAAAGTGTACACACTCTCACTTAATTACTTTGGGACTAAATAATGCTTAAATTTTATTTCCATATTCTTGGTCTCATTGCCCAGGGCTTGAACTTGTAGCAAGGGAGGGGGGTGGATGGCTGAATGGTTAGCGTGCGCGCGCTGTATCACAAAGTCTGTCATTGAGTCGACTGGCGTGGTTTCGAATCCTCGGTTGTACGTGGCAAGGAGTAGGGTCGCCTGTCCAACCTCGTAGGTTTTCTCCGGGGCCTCCGGTTTCCTCCCACTGCTAAAGACCCCTACGCGCAAGCGAATTATGTAAATAGAATTAAACCATATGTTAGTCCCGAAATTACCTAGTTTGTGTCGAGTGGACGTTAAACCCCATTTCTCTCTCTCTCTCTCTCTGTAGCAAGGGAAGGGAATACGTCCGTTGGTTGAGCGCGGTGGACTCGTAATCGTACCACTTGTTTGGCATTTGGTTACTTCCAAATCCCTCGGTTATAATAAGTTAGGGTCGGGTTCATTTCATAGTATTAAATATTATTCAACTTGTAAGCAAAACGGATAAAATATATAAACTCTTAACACTTAAATAAGATACATTAGTTAAGAGTTTTATAAAGAGTTGGCCATTCTTTCTATAATAATTCAAAAATAGATGATAAAAAAAGAAAATGTTGAAAATTTCAGTCAAATTACTTTGTTCTGAATGGAATTATCACTGTTAGAAGTTTGGACTAAAAATAGGCATCACGTGTATCTTCACCGTCTATGAGAATTGGCGATCGTTTGATTGACAAACAATAACTCCACCCACATATTCTCGATTATCAAGTAACATACTCAATGGCTATAGAAGCCTCGCTTGGCAGGCTTTTCATCACCAGTTTCCGGTTGTGACATCAGCGAGTAACGGTGAACGTTAGCTTGGCCCGCCATTTATTGATTTAATTTTAAATGGACGAGGCATTTTAAATCCAAACTGTATCCAAGCCATCCGTGGGTCTACAGGGTTGATTTTAAGCTTGTCGTGTAAATAAAGGTCTAATTAATAATTTATATAACATCTGAAGCCTCAATAAAGACTTGCAATAGGCATATTTAGCTCTTTCATAATGTATGTTTAACTAATTATATAGTATGGGGATTAGCTGTATTTGAATATAGATAAAAACATATTTATGGGGAGTTTCCTATAAGTTGAGTTATAGTAAAATTATAGCGTCATACATAATGAGAACATTAAAATGGTATATGCATTAGCTGTGTCTGTAAAAGGTTTTAGGTAGGGGTGTTTTGGACAGATACACATTGCAGTTAGTGTCTGAGATGTGGGATATATAAATTTGTGTATGAAACATTAGTTGCAGTGCTAATATACGAAAGTGAAATAGTATAAGAAGATGCCTATGGTTGCAGCAACTTATAGTGATAGTAGCACAGTAAATATTTTCATATTAGGGGAGAAAGTGAAAAATAAAACTTCAAACATGACGAAAACTTGCCTTATGGAGAGTAATAAAGCAGTGAAGACTGAAGCTTTAGAGAGTAAACATTATTTTTGTTTTCTTTTTGTATAGAATTGCTATATAAGATCTTTTGAAATATTGGAGAATAGAGGGTGTGTCCGGTTAGAGTCTAACAGGTATAGGTATATATCATGAAGGTATTTAGATTTTACATTGTGTAGATGGATGGTGTTGTTGATTTTGAACTCTTTGGTGAAATGAATGTTGTTTATGTGTGTGGTAATGAAATATTTATAGAATTGTAATTTGGGGCAATTCAGAAATAGGTGATGGTAAGATTCAGTTGCTCGGTTGCAATAGTGGCATTTATAGCTGTTAATAAATCTATTTCTCTATAGCGTAATATCTTTTGTTAGGACGGCATTATTAATGGTTGTGACATGAAATCCTTTTCTTTTTCAGACAAGGAGGGACATTGATAGAGAGTTGTCCAGACTTTAGAGAAGTCAATATGAGGTAATTGTTTGTTTATTTTTGGTTCTGTGTGTAATATGTCAATCAAAGAACAGTATTTGTCTTTAAGTTTTGTATTGCATGGATATTTGATGGATGATTTGAGGCTATTGTGAGTTTCTTTTACATCTATATAGGATTGGGGGATTTTTTCTAAATGGGTATAATTATTGGACGCATATCTTGGCACAGTATCCCTTGTAGTAAATTCTAGCCAGTATACTGTATGTATAGGCCAACCCAGGCAACTCAGGGACTTATGTTGTCCTTGTTGTTGCATTGCCTGGATTTTTAGTCGAATGTTTGGTACTTTAAGGCCACCATTTTTACGGTCTAGGTTCAAGGTGTTTCGATTAATTGTTTCACTTTTATTTTTCCAGATGAAATTGTAGATTATTTTATTTATGTTTTTAGTAATTACTGAGTATGTAGGTGTTTAAGGTACATATTTTTTCTTTATATGATAGCGAGTGATTTTCCCATGTCTGGATGGTTGATTTGATTATTTGTACAAGGGGTAGCCAGTTTTTTTCCCCATTTTATTTGTGCCAAACCAAATGCCTAGTAATTTAATAAATCCGTTTTAATATTTATATTTCCAGGGTAACCGTAGTGGGATGGCTTACCAACAGAAAGGATTTCAGCTTTATCATGATTTAACTCGAGAAGAGTGCTGTATGAAGATAGTCTAGATATTATTGCAGAACAGTCATCTGCGTGTTGAAAAAGGTTAATCTCTGATGGGTAGTTGGGGATTCTGATGCCTTTTATGAGGATGTTTCTGTTTATGTATGAGGCAAGGGGGTTGATACATAAGGAATAAAGGATCATGGATAATGGACATCCTTGACGAATCGATCGGTTAATTTTAATATTTGGGGTAAAGGATCCATTTACTTGGACTTTACTAATCAAGTTTTTAAACAACATTGTAACCCAGTTTAGGATGTAATTTGGGAAATTTATATGTTTTAGTAGATTCTTAATATAGTTGTGTTCAATGCGATCCAGGGATTTTTCTTGGTCAAATGATAGTATATATTCACTGGACTCATTTGTATTTATATAATGTAGGATTGTATCTATTGAATATAGGTTATCAAAAATGCCTTTATTTGGTCCGTCACGAGTCTGTGTATTAGAGATTAATTTGATTATAACTGTATTGATTCTTGTGCTTAAAATTTTTGTGATGATTTTATAGTCGACACATAACAGGCTTATCGGTCTATAGTTCTTAAGTCGTTCGTTCGTTTCTGGGGTTTTACGTCCACTTCCACCTAAGGTGATATCGTAGACAATGTTCTTAAGTAATCGGTGGTTGCCTTTATTCTTATAATTAATTGTTATTATACCAGTTCTCATTGAGTGTGATAATTCACCCTGTAAACAGATGTTCTTTATTACTTCTGTTAAATCGGTTTCTATGGTGTCAAAGAATTTAATGTAGAAATCGCCTGGAATAAAAAAAAACAGTGAGAAAATAAGAAAGAAAAAAAAATGGTTTCAACTGGAAATAGAAATAAACCTCTTTATTTCAAGCGAACATCCCGTCACTGGCCCTCCCAAAAAAAAATCAGTTAACAGTCAGTAAAAAAGTAAACCAAACCTTGAGTGTCACATAAGTCTAAGCCAATCTCAAAGGTAGACACCATATTAAGGCCAACTGCATGTTTGGTCAAAAGTCAAACAGGTGTGAAGTTTGGAGTGTACATGTTAACATTTCATTGTTAGAGTCAGCCCTGTTTACATCTCGTGACTTTAGACCAAATCTGCAGTTGAGTTGGCCTTAATATTTAGACCTAACATGTTTTGACATCATTGTGAACGAAATGTTAACATTTACACCCCAAAATTCACACTCAGCCAACGGATACCCCCAATCATGGCTATTTTAATACCAAATGGCAAATAGTCAAAAAACTTACTGCTGGGCAGTAAAAAAGCAGTATTCTTACCATTTCTGACACTTTCCATTCAAAACTTCAGGAAATAAGCCGCTGAGAAAATATGTACATCCCAAGCCTGTCGTCATATCAGGACATATAGCAATTATATGTCCATTGATTTCAATGTTAAATGGCTGTAACATCACAGGCTGTAGCTTTTTGCTCAACATTCCGTTGGTTCCAATCTTTATAGGCACAATGGGGACCACATTTGGCAATCTCCTCATCATAATTTTGTAGGGGGTTGACCGTTTTGATTTTTTGCTACGCGGATTTGAAGTTGACTGGGGTGAAAATCTCACTTCCGACACAATGATTGCTCTGCAGAAAGACACTTTACACCCCCTATCCCTCCGCTCTAATATCATTAGTATTACCCAAAACGGCTATGAAATTGCAAATTTGATCCCTTTTCTCCAATTCTAGACCAAAAAGTCAACCCAAAAATGCAGGTAGAGGGGAAAAAAATTAAGAGAAAAATTGTCTATTTATAACTCGCACTACATTAGTCCATCATGAAATAAGGGTAAATAATTACTAGTCTTAGTCCATACATGCCAATATCGAAAGGAACCAAGATCTAAGGGAGATAAACCTATTTCAAGTTTCGTAGAAATCGGATAAATATTGTGACCTGTAGAGTGTCCACAAACAATTGTAGACGGACGGACAGGGGCGACGACAATATACGTCCACATGAAAATGTGGGCATATAAAAACTAAAGCGAAACCTGTTCTAATTAATAATAGAGACGTTTAAAATTTATCTTTAGGTGGTTTTAGCACCATAGTTTAGAACCAAAGCACTTTGAAACACGTTTCAAATCTACGCTCGTGCGTAAAAACTCTCAAATCGAAATCTCCCTGATTTAGGCGTAGCACGATATACCCAAATCCACCACTATTTAAACTCATATCACAATAATTTATATTGATATTTGATAATATACCGTTCTTTATGCTGAATTGTCATTTTTAATTTAAAATCGCAGCTTTTTAGTGTCAAAAAGCCCCTCAAAATGCGATTTCCAAGCAAGTTCGGAAGTCGTAACCAAGGGACATAGCTCGTGTAATACACAAATCTACCCAAAACCACCATTATTTCCACATCACAATCATGTATATCGTTTTTTAATATACTACCATTCCTTTAGCTAAATATGTCATAATTACTTTAAAATCACAGTCTTCTTGTGTTAAAATCTTACAATTCATGCTTGTTTGGTTGTCGTATGGAACATTACTCGTGTATATACCCAAATCTTCTCTTTTTAAAACTCCCAAATAATCTCATATCGTTTTTGATTGTTTACCGTTCAATTTCAAAAAGTTTTAAAATTTTGGCTTTTTTTTCAAAATCTGTATGTATGCTTTGTCGGTAGCCGTAAGAAAGGAACATAACTCTTGTGTGTACTTACAGTCCCCAGTATACAATTTTAGTCTCTATTTACTTCTATTTATTCAATAAAATACATAAACAGAGATAAGACACAACGTGTTATTTTGGGATCTGAAAACAAGTCGGAACTTATATAACTTCATCTTCCGTCTGTAAGAAATTTATTTACAAAAATATTAAAGGCATGAATAATAGGTTTATATTTTAAAGAAAAATTCATCTTCTCAATGATGCAGTTAATCGAAAAGTTATCTCGGACAGATCGTAATTTAGATAAAAACAAAAGGTTCTATATACAAAACGGAGTGTATGGTTAGCGATTTAAAATAGTCCGATGATGCTGATAGATACAGTAGGGTATGCGAACGTCAAGTTGTAGATTTACTTCAGTGCTATCGGAACGTGTAGAACACTTTCATATTTACAGCACCTTTAGTTCGTATTATTATTAATTCCCCATAAAATGCTCAATATAAAAAGAAAACTTTTAGAACTTGGAATGTGATTTAAACTAGTGGTTTTAAGTCGTTTTACACTGACATGGACAATATAATGTCTCCCGATACACAAACAAGCATAAGCTTAAACTATGTAAATGCTCTTCGAAACAGAGGAAAATAATAAATTTGAAAAGATTCGAAAATAATATTGCAGATTGATTATAACAATCAAACAGTTATATATAATATATACTCTTCAAAAAAGTAGGGGATATTCAGAAACAGTACAAAACTGCGGAAATGCACTGCTGTTTTTATTAGAGGTAACCAGGGTATGTTGATAACAGGCCAATCTGACGACCCCATTTCACTCGCAAAGAGATACGCCGTCAAAAGTGAAAATGGACGTTTTTGATTTTTGTTTTAATAATAAGTAATTGCTCCACCAATTCTCAGACTTTCAGCAATTCGCCGTGGTGCGTTTCTAATCAACCGTCCAATCACCATTAGGGGCAATCTGACCCACTCACTATTGCAGTGCCACAGCCAATTCTTGCAGTGTTGTCCGTTGACGTTGACGTCGACGAACACGTCTCCCGATCAAATTAAACGTAACACACTAAAGCAAAGATACGCTAAACAGTAAATATTATGCAAGAACCGATAGGAAAGCAAACATGGATGGATAAACCAGCACGCGGCAGTTTTCATCAACCCTTCCTTGAAGTGTCAAATTTGACAATGAACCCCTCCCACGTGTATGGCGCCATTGCGTGTCGCATGTGCAGCTCAGTTGTACGGTTGGAGCGATAAGTTCTTCATCTGTGAACATACTCTCAAAGCATGTCAAGAGTCCATGACTATTTATCATATCACAACCTGCATAGGTATTTGCATTTCAATATCCCCTACTTTTTTTTAAGAGTATATATATATATATATGTACTGGTACATTAGAAAATAATAAGCACAGTTTTTTTTTATTTTTGAATAGTTTATTTACATATGATATCTACATAGTATTTACAGAATAATTACATGAAACACATATAACTCATTATATCTATTAAAACTTAACCAGTTTTATAATCAGTTATATTTAATAACATACCGTATATATTAAAACAATAATAGTTTTATAATCGGTTATATTTAATAACATACTGTATATATATTAAAACAATAATGGTTTTATAGTATAGGTTTTGAGGTTAGTCGAAAAATGTGGAAAGATAATAATAAATACTACTTGATATCATGTGATAAACAAGATATTCGTGACTTACTATAAGGAGACAACAGATCTGACAAATCAACTAATGAAAATATTGTATGTGTTGTTCATGATATCATTAGTTCATAGTTTGTATTATCCCTGTCTAATAGTATTTCGATATAGTTTATTCTAAATTTATTACGGGTCTTACACTTTAATTTGAGTCCCGTGTACACTGGATCCCCACCCGCCAACCACCGCGCCTCCCCCAATATAAGAAGCCACGGTGGCTCAGTGAGTAAGACGTTGGCTCGCTAACCTGGAGGTCCCGTGTATCGCGCACGAGAGAGAGAGAGAGAGAGAGAGCAGAAGAAGAAAGAGAGAGAGAGCAGAAGAAGAAGAAGTAGAAAGAGAGAGAGAGCAGAAGAAGGGGAGAGGGAGGGGAAACAACTCTTTTTGCATTGATTATGTTGGCCCTGAAAAGGGCCGTTGTCCTCAATGTAAGGGTTCCTTAACAGGAACACTTCGGTCGCTCCGCCGAATACCTTGGCCGTTTCTGGCATTTCAGAAGATGCTTACACCTCCTATGATAGGTGTTGGAAACATCTACTCCACACCAGTAGCAGACAAGATAATCGGCATCCGGCCGATTACCCCTAAACATAGGGTAATACCCCCCACTAGTTGTGCAAAAGAGTTTATCTTTTCGATCCATTTTGCTTGTGACATCTCTGGCTTCGACACTCCTATTTATGGCTCGGAACGGGACGAGTCTAATGTGTTGGGACGATACCATTTTTTACCAATCAGAATAGCATGACGTCACAAAAAACATGACGTCACCAGAAAAACAGACACGTGATATGTTGTCGACAAAGCATTTTATTAAACAAGTACAAAAGAAATCAAACGAAAACTTAAAAAAGAGAAATTTTAAACAAAACATAATTTACAGAGCAAAAAAGCATCGACATCGCTGTCCCTTCTTCTGTTCCTCTTGCAAGTTGGGAACATGATCCCTGGCCCATTGTTCGACGAGTATATCGTTTACACGATACATGCGACCGAAAACGGAAAGGGAGTATGGGGAAGGAACGTGAAATCGATGACACAGAAAATACAAGCAATAATGTCCGTACACGACACTGCCGAATCCTTGAATCCATCTGGGTTGATAGTCGAGTTGTTGATCTTGAACGAACCGTCGAAAGGCTTCTCCATCGATATCAGGGGGGCAACCATAGGAATCAAAGAAGGTGACGTGAT